AGTCTTCCCATCCAAGTCTGAACCATGGGGTGTCCAGGCTGCTTTCTTTGAGAATCGGGATTTCTTACAACGCAGACAAACCAGGAGAGATGCCCGTGAGCCCCGTGCATCTCCCTGGCTGAAAGGCAGCAGCATTACTGACACAGAAGTTACTTACAGACAAGCCCAGTCTAGCACCAGAGGCCGTGTTGCGTAAGCAGAGCTGCTGCTCCATCCTGTCCCGGGCCAAGCAGGTGAGGTAAGACATGAGCCAGCCCCAGCCCGAGCCCGAGCCAGCTCCAGCCCACCGAGGTGTCTCTGGACAGTTTTTAGGGACACACCTCTTGCAGTCACCATCCAGAACGAAACCCCAGCAGGGAGATGGCATGTGATCACCAACACAAGCCCTTGGAACAGGATATGCTTCCATTTCCTCACAATTCACACACTGGCTTTCAGTACAGTGAACTCCTGGACTGGCTTCTCGCAGAATTTTTGCAAGAAGAAACACGTTCAGTCACCTCTGAGCTTTGCAAAGGTGATGCCTTTGCTCACCTACATTACCTGTAAAGCCATTCCAAGGCTACCTACAGCACCAGGACAGCATAACTGCTCTGCAGGAACACTGTTTGCTCACACTAAATTGCACAGATACCCACTTCCATCCCCTGAGGAACTCGTGAGGTGACCTGGACATGTAATTGGGAAGAAAATCCGGACTTTTTACTTCTCCAAAACAAAGCCAGTCCTGCTCTTTATTCCCTCCTACAATAACAAGCTCTGCTTTCTTGCTTTCTCCATCCCAGGGGTATTTCGTCATCAACATTCCACCCAGTTTTGCATAAGAAACAACACTGCAAACTGGTTATCATACACTCCTTTTCTTAAAAAAAGACAAACCAAAAAAGCCTACCAAACAACCCTAAACCTGTCAGCCTTAACTGTGAAACCACTTGTTACAGGCTGAGCAGTTGAAGAAGCAGGATGACAATGCCAGGAAATACCTGGAATTGATCTTCAAAGTTTATTTTTGGAGACTGGCTTTTCTCCCAGCTCTTATTTAATAATTTGCTCTTTCCCTCCTCTCCCCAGTTGTTCTCTCCGGGGTCAAATTGCAATCTGTTTCACCTCCTGGAGTTCACCCACAGACCCCCTAAGAAGAACTTTAGGAATCAAATTCTGGCTCAGACAACACGTTCTTTCTATTTCATGGCTATCATATTCTTTCTCAGGTATCAGGAAAGATAGAATAGTCTGGTATTTGTCTGGAATCAGACGTGCGCAGGATCCATTTAGCACTCAGTACCTGTCTGTGCTTCATATCTTTGCTACACAAGCAAATTTCTTCAACAAAGTCTCTCCCTCGACATTTAGCAAAGGAAGTCTTTCTATTGTGAACCAGTTCTCCAAATATTAGAAATTTTACCCTTAGCCTACCTGGTTTACCAGCTCAGATAGGCTTTTGCTACAAGAGCTGTTGATTTCTTTTCCAGACTGCTAAACAACACAATGGTGGCAGCAACATCTCAGAGGTGACCAGGGTGTGGCTACCTGAGGTTTGCATTTAGATCTATCTATCGCATGCTGTGGATGTGTCTGCTTAAAGAGTTTCCACACATCACCCAGCCACCAGGGAACAGCCACACCTGCTGTCCAGGACCACGACAAGACTGAACTGTTGCATATTTACCCCAAGGTTCAGGTGCTTGCGACTGAGAGCCACACACAGTCACCCTCAGCATTGTGCTGAACTATGGATGTTTGCAAGAGAAAGAACAGTGTGGGGGTTCCAGTTGTGGGTTTCTCTGATCTGGATTGAAGGCACTTGAGACAGTAGTCCAAGTTCGGACTCAAGTATTTATTATTTCTTATCGGTAAAACAGTCTCACTACTCTGAGTTCAGGAGCTTTTCATGAGAAGGCACAAAATGGCTAACAATCTCTTATTACAAGGTCTTTTAAGACTAAACTATCCAATTAAGAGCTGACACCTAGATTATTTTCCCTTTTAACCCAATAACTGATCCCAAAGAGCCACAATGCAGACTTTTCTGCCCAATTACAAAATGCCACCCAAACCCATGAAGAAGAAGGAAGAAGACGCACGAAGAAGAAAGCCAGGACAACACTCTATGCCCTCCATCTTGCTTCCATTTACAACATAGTAAAAATCCCAAAATCTAAATTTCTCATAAAGTGATACAGCTACACTACTCTCTATAATCTATTTCACACTTTTGTGGATTCTGGTCTATCTTGAAGTCTAGGAAACATTCTCCATACATAAGCGTCAAAGTCAGTGCTCCCCTGGGGGTCAGGGCACCCCAGAGCAGACAGAGAAATATTCCAGGAGCCCCGGGTTTCCACAGAACAGGCAAAGGAGGATGAGCCTATGCAATTTTGCAGAAGGTTTCCAGCCAAATGAAGTGAGTACCTACCAGGTGCTGTCCACCACTGAGAGCCAGTGCCAGCCTTGCCCCAAGGAGCGCAGCAGATTGCAAGGCAGCTGCGAGGAGCTCGGGCAGGGGAAGGAGCACACCACCCCAGGGAGCCCAGTGTCCTCACTGCTTCCACCTCTGCCACTAACCTGATGTGCGACCTTGAAAACTCCACTCTGCAAATCCCCTTCGGCCTCTTATAGCAGCTTGTCAGGTCCAGCCCAAAGCTCGTCTGAGTCCAGGGACTGACCAGGGGTGAAGGGTGGATTTAAACTGGATGTTGCTGCCTGCTCCCCAGTCTCAGGTTCAGCCAAACGCCTTATACTGCACAACCAACACTGAGTCTGGTGGAAATGAGGACACACAGAGCCCTCCTAGATGCTCTGCTGGGACATGAGACACTTTGGCCGAGATTCAGCTCTCCAGACACTAAACAGCCACAGGAGCAGTACCTCTATAAGTGCTCTTTGTTTGAGCTCAGCAGAAACAATGGAGAGGAACAGGCACTTTTAGGGCAGTTTGTCCAATGTATTTTTAGATGTCCAACTCAGTGTGGATGAATCATGGCTCAAAAGCGTGTGCTCCTCTCCAGTGACTATGAAAGGAGTCTGGAGAACTGTCTTTCGTGCAGATAGTTACGTTATATAGTTTGGCAAGATGAACTGTGGCCTTTAAAGATGGAGGAAAGGCAGGAAACAAAGCAGCACACCCTTGGGTTACACTGAAGTACCCTCCAAGTGCTCTGTGCCTCCCTCCCCCAGAAACACCTTGTACCTAGATGATACACAACCACCTTCACCCTTGAGCTTGGCTTTGCTAGAAGAATTTCATTCAGTTACTGAACTTGCATATTTCACCAAATATTCCTGCAAGCAGAGCTGCACATTGCTGACGAGCCTCAAGAGCCTCAAAGAAGCTGGACATGCTTCTTGTGAGTCAGCTTTCCTTCCTTTCCCTGCATCATTTAGGTGGTTATTAACAACACAAGCCCACACAACACAGAGGTCTCTAATGGAAATTGAACAGAGTTTCTCAGGTGTCTCTACAACCACTTCACGGATGGATGTACAGGCTGCTACAGACCAAGGGGTACCCAGTGTATTCCTTCCCCTCTGCTTAAACCTTTTGCTCACCAACTCCTGGTCTTTATCCTGGCAACCAACAGCTCAGAAGTTTCGGAAGGCAGAACTTTTTCCTGCAAACCCCACATTTCTGCCTCCTCCCTACACTTCCACAAAAGTAATTACAAGTGCTTTGTTTTCCATCTTAATTGTCATTTCCTTTGATAGAACTTGCAGCCTAAGTCTTAACGCTCAGATAACTAATGCCATTCTTTTCTCTTCTTCCTCATCCCTGGTCACAAACAGTATTGCTTGTACCAGGGTCAGCAGTTCCTTAAAAACCTCTACAGCCAATCTGTGCAGGGCTGCATTGTGCAGGGAGTTATCAGCAGGCTGCAGGAAGGTTAGAAAGCAAACATGCCTCTCTACGAGACCAAAGTTATGCCTGGAGTCAAGCCCCGTCCTGTTTCCCCTCCTGTGGGGAGATAACAGCCTGTACTACACCAGCTCTTTCCCCCACACAGCTTTCTGCCGTGCACACAAGCTGGGCTAAACAGAAGTTTTAGCCCCACTCCCTCTCCTGTCCCTGTCCTGGTCCCTCTGCACCTCCATGGAAGCAGATTGTTCCATCTCCTGCTGTGAGTACTGTCATTTAGGTGATCTACAGAGGTTGTCTTCTTTGTACCCTCACCAACACCAGGAGCTGTGTGTGATCCATGAAGGTGGCAGGAAGCTGGCCAGTATTCAGCAACAGTGTTTAGTCTGCAATCCTGTCACAAAGAAAATGCTCCGAACATGAGGGGTCTCTCCTCTCTCAGCATCATCCCAAGCCAAAATACATTCATCCTTCACAGTGACTGCTTGCTACTGGCACCCTTCATGCTCTGTAGGATGCAAGTCAGTCCAGGAAGTGTAAGGCAGTCGAATTCATGTCCTGTGGGATAACATAAGCTGAATTTTATGATTCATAGTCCAGCAGCTATATGTTCTACCGCAGGAATAAACTCCTGCTCCTCCTGCAGGAACTGCAAGTCAGCACAAAGAGAGTGGGGTGAACATTGCCTGTCCCTTAACATGGATATACCACTGGTACTCCCATACATTTACACTCTTGACAAATTCATCCACACCAGCTGAAGTAAAAAACTCCCTCTGACCCAAGTCAGGTCTTGATTCCTCCTCTAGAGAGCAAAAATAGCAAAATCAGATCAACCTGCTCTGCCAGTGTCTACATGGCCAACTCTGCCTCAGTTACAGGAGTCCCCCACCCAAACTGTCCAGAGATGAAATTCAAGCAAGGAAAGATTAGGTGAGAGGTGTATGAAATGTCACCTTCCCTTTAATCACAGCTTATGGATCCATCCCAAAGCATTACTCATGTGGTGCTCCACACTCCACATTGTGTATAATCCCACTGCCTAATCCAGGTACTTGTTCAAACAGGCACGTTGCTAGGAGTGGGTCCTTGCCATCACTGGGAGCATTCCTTCAAGACCACATCCTCTCCCACGTGCAGAAGTACCATGACAGCTCAAAAAAACCTGCAGGAAAGGCAGAGCAAGCGTGGTGCACACACAGCTCATTCCTTCAACAGGACACAGCCCATGGCCATCCTCTCCCACGCTGCCAGATCGTGTTGGGGAAACACTTCAGTTGTGGTAAGCAACAGATAAGCATCTCTGCACCGACACAGAAAAAGCATCTCAGCTGGTAGATTTTAAAACCGGTATTTATTGTGCCTCAGGGAAGAAAATAAATTGGCTAAATGGGCTGAAAGGCACAGCTTCACTAGGAAGAGCTTGGATTGTCTCTTCGCATCTTTCGGCACAAACCCGGCCATTGAGAGCCCAGATCTAAAACAGAGCTGCAGTTGCTAAGAAAACAGTGCTGCAAACAGATGTCAGGAGATGATTCATGGAGTAAGGGCATATCCCTGTACTACAGATAAACCAAAATGAATGAGGCTCTTTATACCTGATCTCCCAAGCTGGCCTTCTTCACACCCGCTTTGGGACCTTTTCTTTAGTTCCTTTCTATATTCAGATGAATATTCAGTTGAGGAAACTGAGCAGAGCTGAACTCACTGTTTATGTAATAATTACTAGTAAAGGGGTTTTACAACGTGCATGATTAACTCAATAAATGGGCTAAGTTGTGGCCCATTTTTCCCCTAAAAGAATGCAATTTTCTCCCAAAGCATGCAAGCAATCTTTCCCAAAACATACCATGAGGAGTAACAAAAAACACAGATAAAAACTGCAAAGAAACAAACAGTAACTGGTTAGGGTTTTTTTTCTTACTTTCTCTTTCAACATAAAACTTAAAATTAGCAGCTAGGGAGATAAAGCATTTTCAAGCTATTAGATCACTAGCCAGCAATGCACACTGCTCCTTGAATTACTTCATTGTGTCTCTGCTTAAAATCTTTGCCTGAAAAATAAATAAAAAATAGCTGGCACACTACAGGACTGGTCAAGTGCTACTGACACCAACAAAATTCTCAGTTACTTTACTGAACTTTTAGTCAGATTTAATAGGAGAAAGATTAGCTCCTTCCTTAGAATATCCAGAATCATGTAACATCCTGAGTTGGAAGGAACCCCCAAGGATCATTACAGTTCCTTCGCCCCTCTTGAACCACCATGCTCAAATCTTAGCACTGTAACACAGAGTTTCCTGAGGGTATTTGTAAGGAAATGTTTAAATAAAGGAACTTTAATACGTGTTTTTGTAGAAAACTCAGGTAAAAAGGTAATTATCATTCATTAGGAAGCAGGGAAGAAGGAACATTAATTTATACATTTCTGAATAGGTGTTTGTACAGCATTTCACATGATGGGGGCCCAAACATTGCCAGTGCACACATCAGTACATGGTGACACGTTATTGTGGTCACTGCTGGTGTTTCACCTCCAAATTCCAGAGTCACCACCTACCCCTCTCTCTTCTGCCACCACCTGCAGATGACAGGGCTTCCTCTCCTGTGCCACCTCCTGCTCACTCCACACCACCCCATCCTCTCTTGCTGTGACATGCTGCCTTCTGCCTCGGAAATCAATTATTTAGGCTGCCCTGATTTCAGCGAGAGGTGGCTGTGTGTGCAGACACTCTTATTGTGAGCAGAGTTAACAGCTGCCACCACAGCTCCTTCTCAGAAGCGGCTGAAGACCGTGACACAGCTAACCAGGCGCCAGCAGCCGCGTGTTGCTTCTGCAGGAATTGCATTTCACACAGAGATGTAAACAGACGTGCCCGCCAAGCTACGGCTCTGCTCACTTGGCCAACAGTCACAGGAACGAGCCAGGACGCTGCACGTGGCACTTACGTCTTTGTCTGTCTGTCTGTCCTGAAAGGGCAGATCACCCTGTGAGATGAGAGGGAGGAAAACTCAGGAATGACAGAAAGAGGGGGAGAGGACAGGCGAGACACAGGGAAAGAAGAAAGCAGAGGCACGAGGAGCACACAGTCCCAGACATGACAAAGGCTGTGAGAAACTCCAAAACTTGCTCGAAGTTTTCTCTCTGGTAGATTCCCAGTAACTTGAGGAGGGTGCACCTGCTCTACTTCCTGATGCCTCCAGCAGCTCTCAGGAGAAATAGAGAAGAACAATTCAGTTTGATTCAGAACGATTCAGACTGAGCCCAGGTGTAGTTCTGAAGGTGAAAGGAGGAAAAGGGGCCTTCCCTTAAACCCACAAACACACAGAGCACCTGACACTAAGCCAGCACCAAGTTACAGACAGGGAGCCCCACGTGCGGCATCCCATGGGCTGGAATAACACAGATCCGTAAAAACTGCTCCGAAAGGGAGCAGGCGTCTGCCGGGAGCCCTGGAAGGACGGGAGGAAGGGAGGGAAGGCAGGAGGGAGGCTGGCAGCGAGGCGGGAAAGAGAAAAGAGCCCATGTGCAGCGGGAAGCACAGAGCGCGCGAGTCCTCAGCGGGCAGCGCTTCACCGGGGCAGCAGCGCCGGCAATAAAACAGCGCAGGGAGGATGCCGCTGCCTCCTGCGGCCCTCCCAGAAAAGCAGTCGCTCCCTTTTCCCGAAAACTTTGCCTGAGTAAGTTTGCACGATCAGTTCCTCAACACATAATCCAAAGAGATATCGACGTTCCCAGCGGTACCCACGGCTCCCCGGGGCAGCGCCGGTCACCTGCCCGCACCCCCTGCGTGCTCCCCCGCCGCGGGACAAGCCGGCCCCGGGACAAGCCGGCTCCGGCCGGAGCTCCTCCGGCAGCGCGGCCGCCGCTCGGGGAGGGTAGGGCAGGACCGCGGGGGCGGGAGCTCGCTCCAAGCCCGCTCCAAGCTCGCTCCCGCCGCCGGCCGAGCCCGCCGCGCACCCTCCGCGCAGCCCGGCGAACTCCCGCCGCTGCCCCGCCGCGGTCCTTACCCTCTTCCCCGGCTTTCGCAGCGCTGGGAAAGGGGGGGGGACGCGCTCCGGGAGCGCGGTCTCTCCATCCGCGCCCCCCCGCGCAGCGATGTCCCGCGGGGGGCGCGGGCGGTGCCGAAGGTGCAGCCGGCACCGAGGGAACAAAGGCGGCGGCGGCGGGGAACAAAGAGCGGCAGGTACCGGCGCGGCGGAGGGCGCGGGCAGCGGAGCGGGGCGGCGGCACGGGCGAGCCGGGGCAGGGGCCGGGCCGGGCCGGGCCGGGCCGGGCGGACAACGCCGCCGCTCCCGCACAAAGGGGTCGTGGGGCGCCCGGCCCGGGGAGGGGGCAACCCCGGCTCCCCGCGCCCGCCCGTCCTCACCAGCCTTGGCTTCGGCGCGCGGGGTTTCCCGGTGTTTTCCCTCCCGGCGCTTACCGGGACGGCGCTGTTCATCCCGCCCCTCGTGAGCAGCCGGGCAGGGCCACAGGCGCTCTGTGTCCATGTGCTGCACAGTAAGGACTTGGGCTGGAAGTAAGAAATCCTGTGTGTTGTAGGAACCGTTTTCTGGTCTGGGAACGTTTGGGGTTACAGGTGATAAACAAAAATAAAATACTTCATCACAGATGTGCAGCACCCCCAAATCCAATGTAGAAGATCACTGGAGACCTCTCCAGTTTCTGCACAGCATCCACAGTCCTCCCCAAACTGAGCTCTCCTCACCTCAGGCACAGACCCCAGGTATGACCCATCTACCCCTCTCTTCCAGATTCAGACTCTCCTCAAGTTTATGGACAGCATCATCTGACCATGCCCAGCCAGAACTCTGGAAGGCAGATGCGGGTCAGTTATGTAAACATAAGTTGGGGGTCTTTTTTTAGAGCTCAGAGGAGGGTTAGTGGAGGAGGAAAAGGAAGGAATTCCTTAGATTTGTCCCGTTTGATTCTGGATATCTTTTGGCTTCTCACAAAGTGAGAAGATACAAATATTGGGATGGAGCTGTGCTTTACACACCCAGAGGTCAGCCAGCTATTCAAAGGAAATGTAACTTTCCAAAAGCCACTTCCTGCCAGTGTCAATACATTGGGCTTCTCAGTCTGTGCTGGTAAAACATCAACCACCTTAAAAGAGGCAAGCAAGTGAGGTCCTGCATCTGAAGGCTACAAAACCAAAAGTACCTGCTTACTCAAGCTTCTTTTTATACCCACAGATCTGCCTAAAGAAATTCTGCAAGATTTGGAGCCCTGATTTTCTGTGAGGAAATTTTTCTTTTCTGGACAAAAGTGAATCCTGCACCTTTTCAGTGTCATTTCAGCTGGAGCCTGAGAATGCACTGACTTGCAGAACCAACAATCAAAGCTGGCTACTACTTGACTGCCCTGCCTTGGCAAACACCTGGTCCAATTCATGCTTTGTTGCCATCCTGGCAACAAACCAACCTGTGATGGTTCTTTGTGTACTTTTTTTACTTGTTTTATTGAGGATTAATTAGTGTTTGTATAGTGGCACAGCTGTCTGGTGCTCCATGGACACAGCTGAAGGCAAAGGCCGTTGGGCTATGCTGTGGTTTCCTAATTCCTGTGTTATGGCTAGTGTAATGCATATCCTTGAAGTGAAACAAACATTTCTGACTGATTTATGACTTTTGACTGCCAGTTTTCTTGTGCTAGAGGAAGGAGAGAAGAAGATGCAGTATCAAAATCAAGCTGCAATACTTCAAGAATTATTTCAAGTCCCCTGTTGATCACTTGAGGCTCTTGCACATGCTATGAAATTCACCAGAAGTCATCTCATGGAGCTTGATCTTTTATGCCTTGGAGAGCGCCATCCCACATTATCTCTCCATGTTCTTCTCACTGACTTCACCCTGCCATGAATCACAGGGCTCCTCATCCCTTCATACACTGCAGGCATGCCAGGCTATGTCTAACACAGCACAGGTCCCAGCCCAGGGTGCTTGCTTTCACTCAAATTGCACATTTCATAACTTGCTTGTAAAGCACTTTGAAGATATGACACTAAGTGTTGCTAACACAAAATGGTATTGTTGGACAGGTTTAACATGAGCAATTAAACAGTAATTCCATAAAAAAATTCCATAAAAAAAGGTGTGAGGTAGAAAGTTAAAGGTAGAATTAAGTCATATATGCTTACCTTGTATCCAAATCTTCAGGCTGTTGATTACTTGGACTGACACTGAAAATAAGCTTCCATCTCTTTTTACACACAGCCTTCCAGCTAGGAACTGCTAAGGCCCTGTGCTCAGACCCTAACTGCTTTGACAGGTACATGGGTGCTGCCAGCTAGGATAGCAAGTGGCTGACACGGATCAGGCTTTGTGGAAGGTGAAGGTCTAGAAGCTGTGAGAGTAGGGCTCCTGCCTGCTGTCTGCGGCTGTCCAAAATGAGCTGGATGGATGCACAGAGCACTGGAGAAAAGACCTACAGAGCAGCACTGTCAGGCAGTGATGAATATAACTGCAGTGGGGATGAGGAGCCCTCACAATTCCCATTAAATTCCCTTTTGAAAGAGGGTTTGATCAGTTCAGCAGTGATGCTTGCCTCACCACCTTCCCACACCACCCAGAATGGCCAAGTCACAGAGCTGTTTCTTGTACAAGGCATCGAGGCAGTGATTGTCCCCTGTGCTGGGCACTGGTCAGGCCACACCTCAGATCCTGCGTTCAGTTTTGGGCCCCTCACTACAGGAAAGACATTGAGGGGCTGGAGCACAAGTCTGATGAGGAGCAGCTGAGGGATCTGGGGGTGCTTAGCCTGGAGAAAAGGGGACTCAGGAGACCTTACAGCTCTCTACAGCTCCCTGACAGGAGGCTGTAGCCAGGTGGGAATCAGGCTCTGCTCCCAGGGAACAGGTGACAGGATGAGAATGAACTGCCTTGAGTCGCACCAGGGGAAGTCTACATTGCATATTAGGAGAAATTTCTGTACTGAAACAGTTGTGAGGCATTGGAATAGGATGTCCACGGAAGTGGTGGAATCTCTACCCCGAAGTGTTCAAAAGAGGTGTGGATGTTGCACCTGGGGACTTGGTTTAGTGGTGGATGTCATGGTGCTGTGTTAACAGTTGGACTCAATGATCTCAGAAGTCTTTTCCAACCATAATTGGAAGATTGGTCTATAGGTCCCACAGGGATCAACAGCATGAGCTTCATGGCAGGATATTCCTTCCATAATGCAGAATTTGCACATCTAGATTCCAGCATTGGAAGGAGATCAAATGTCCCCACATCCCAGCACCAATCTGGACAAAGCGTTAACTCTGAATGATTGTGATGGCTGTGTAAACTAGTTTTGTTTGGATACTCCAAGTTATGTTTGCTCTGCAGTCTGCCAGGAGAAACCTTTGGCTTAGTGACCCTCCTCTTTCCCCTGTGTGCAACCCCCTGTGCGGTGCTGGCATGGTGTTTGTGCTGGAGCTGGGGCTGGGAACCAGATGAAAGTTAGCCCTGAAGAAGAATACATTGTTTTGATCTGGATTGCTCCCAGGGTTTGATTGTGGTGTGGACACACAAAGAGGTATGTCAGCACAACAGAGGGGGCAGCAGGATCTAGCACAGGGACAGGAATGCACGGCAGAAACTGGAGCTGGGAACAGAACGACACTAAGCAAGAAAATAAGGCATCAGCACTGGGCCAGAAACATCAGCCTCAGTGCCCAGCTGCTCTCTGCTCACCCCATCCCTTGCAGGAGAGAGAATTGGGAAAGGGGAAGAAGGGGTGAGAGTAGAAACTCACTTTTGGACTTTCCAAAGGACCGTCCACTCTGCTGGTGGAGCAACACCGAGGAAATACGGCTGCAGTTTTGCAGACACCCTTTTTGGTGGCAGCAATTCGATGGACCAGTCAGGTTATGCTCCCTCTGTTGTGCTGGTGCAGCTTTTTGTGCTGTTGTGTTGTCAAACAGACCAGGAAAATGCATAAAAAAAGCAGCACCCTCCCCTCCTCAGTTATTTTTACCCTGGCTCAGTTCCCAGACACAATTCACCTTGTCTCCACTGAGGTGCAACTGGAGGAAGAGTGCTGGAGTGGAAAAGTATAGCCAGAAGCAGTAGAACAGGGCTCTGCCTAAACCCACTGTGCCTCTCAAAACAAGCCCGTGGCTCAACACCTTGGGGAGAGTTTCCCTTCAGCAATCACAGCCAGCTTGTTTGTCAGAATTAGAGAGATCAAAAAAGAGGAAAGGAAGGTTGAATCCATGCAGGCGCGTGCGACATTTGCATATTATTTTCCTCTGGAAAACATAAAAGGAAATCTGACAGTAATCATGTTAGAAATGCTCCCTGTTCCCCTCCCATTTGATCTAAGCTCTGTGTGTGACACTGACCCTGGCATGTAAGACGGCTCCAGCCGACCTCCGACGCTGCCTCCAGCACCCGGCTGTTTCTGCTGAAGTCAGTGGAAACACTTTGATAGTTACAGGTGCCCATGCCTAAATGCTCTGTTAGGTCACCAGCTAATTTTAGGATGGAGGAGCACAGTTCCAAAAGAGAAAAATAGGTTAATAACACTTAAGTTGCAGCAAATCTGTAGGAAATCTCCTGGAATACGTCCATAATTAGCAAATCTGTACTTCCCAAAGAAGAAATCCTCACCTTTTCTTCAGTTCCTTTTTTCCCTTGATTTTGCCTGTGGATTATGATTCCTGTGGCTAAAACAGGATGAACTGAAGACTTCTACACTTAGAGATTAGTACCTGAACCTTATGGCAGCATTCAGGAGCCATGCACTTACATCTTTCTATACAGGATTCCATTAGGGAGGTGTTTACTGTTTTAAAGTGAACAGTGCTGGTGTGAACTCCCAAATTTTTCAGAGCTAAGGCACTGGATTCTGCTCAGAGAGAGGCACATCCCAAGTCAGCCTCCTGAGGACAGGGACCTGCCATCTGAACTGTGCAGGGCTCATTTTGCTCCATTTGTAACACAGGTATTGTGCATGAATAAAGGTTTCCACCCTGTTTTCCCACCTCCCAAAGTGCACCAGCTTCTCAGTTAGAGGTGAGGAGGGTTTGTTACACAAAGAAATGGAATTTCAGGTTACACCCTGAAAATTAAAATTCGAAGGTGATCATCCCTAACCCTAATTCCATTTTAGTGGGGCTTTTTGGATTGCAGGTGGTCTTAGGCTGCAATGCAAGATGTAACCAGGAGTATGTATTCTATCACCAGCTGTTAAAACCAGGTGGGGCAGTTTGCTTTATCTCTTCCAGGACCCATTCACCCTACAGGGAGATATCTCCTGTTAATGGGCCAGTGAGTGTCACTGGTAAAATTCCATCATCCCACTGGGAGATGCTCTGCCCAGGGGGAGGAGCCAAGCATTCCTACCTGGGTAAAACTTTGAGATTTGGAACACTGGGGGAGTTTGTTTCCAGTGGATTCCCAGAGGAAGACCAGGCCCATCTACACCACCACTGGACCTTTAGAGGAAAACTCCACCCTTCTACAGGACCATTGCTCCCACAGAACCACAGCTGTCACTGCAGGAGATCTGCAGCCACCACTGAATAGAACTGCTACCAACACCCTGACCCACAGGGTGTCAGGTTGTATTTAACTCAGTATTTTTTTTTATCACTGCATTTTTATTTTAATTTTCCTAACAAAGAACTGTTATTCCTATTCCCATACCTTTGCCTGAGAGCCCCTTAATTTCAAAATTTATAACAATTTGGAGGGAGGGGGTTTACATTTTCCATTTCAATGGAGGCTCCTGCCTTCCTTAGCAGACACCTGTCTTTTCAAACCAAGACACAGGTATTTACTGAGGGTATTTACCTCTAACCTGTCTAAGTCCTGCTTCAGGTACTGAAGTGCCTTTGTGGATCCCACTTGAAACCTTGCACTCCTGATTGACTTAGTGGGCTCAGCAGACTGTGTTTTAGAGATCTATTAGACTCCTGATAAGATCAGGTCAAGCTTTTACAGACTTTCAGGAGCCTGTAAGACCTTGACCCTCACTTATCAGTAAATTCAGACAAGGTTTTGGATTCAGAATCCCCCTATCTTAAACCATTTATCCACTTTTTTCACTTACATTACTGAGTCTAACAAAAAATAATACCCCTTCTGTCCTTGGACTGTCACAGCTGCAGCCCTTGTGTTTATAAGAGCACTGTAATGAGCCTGCAGTCGAGACCACACCAGTCTTGTCAGCTTTGTCCTGGTGCTCCAAGGCTGGCTGGTGCCTCCCACGCACTCTGTATCTCACCAGCAGCTTGGCATCTCACTTCTGGCTCTATTTCTCAGAAGTTATGTGAGAGAAACCTGCCAAGAAACACTACTCAGTTGACCGCAGCAGAAGCTTGAGAAACACAGTGTAGTGGTCAAATACCAGGTCTGGATTCTGGAACCCACAGCATGGATGAGGGAATAACAGCAGCTGGACAAGCAGCTGCAAGCTCAGGTGCCCGTGAAACAAAACTGAGCAGCAGAAGGCAAGCAAGGGCTTGGGCATTTTCCTCTTGCTGGCCTCCTCTCACCCCTGAAGCACTTTCCCTGAGGCTCAGACAAGACCTGCAGTAGTTTCACTTTGAGCAGTGTTTTAATCCCCTGAAAGCCTTTCCTTTCCTTGCCACCTCCAATTACGGAAAGGAAATGAAGAGAAAAAAAAGCTTTATCTGTAGTTGCAGGTATTGATAGTTCTAGGACACACCTGGGCTGAGGACTGCACAAACCACATCAGGACATGGAAATACTGGATGAGGCACCCCTCTCACCCCTGCATGGCCAGGGCAAAGCTCCCTTGAGCAGCTCTCAGGCAGCAGCAGTTTGCTTTGCCTCTGCTTCCCCTGCAACACTGACATATCTTGGGTGGCTACAGCCCATTTTCAACCATGATTCAGTGGAGAACAAAAAAGCTCTCAAGGGTAGGAAGTGGGGCTAAGGCTTCTTTGGAAGCAGGATTTAGTAATCCCAGTTGCCACCTTTAAAAATCAGTGCCCTTGGGCCCCAGCCAGCCCTCAGCTCTGTCAACATCTTTGCTGCCAACTTTACTAACAGTCACACAAATGTAAATCTACTGTGAGAAGAGGATTAAGCCCATTCTGGTTTTATGGCCTATAAAATGTCTTCTGCCCTGCTGTCACTGTGCAGTGATACATAACACAGAAAAAGGGAATTCAGGCTGCTCCTGTGTCTCTAGAATTTTAAAGGAAAAAAATGTAATTCCAGAAACTTTACCAGCCAGTGAAGTGCAAATGCAGACAAGGGTTTTTCTAAGGCAGAAGCTAAAGGCCTGTACCTTGCCAGATGCTGGTTGAAATACATAATTTTTTCCCTGAAAATAAGATTATCAACAGCAATTTTCCATGCATTCAAGTTCAGGATTTTGTCTGCAAGGGGATTAAAGCTCAGGCAAACATCAGCCTGCCTGAACACTGCCCTGCTCCATGTATTGCTCCCACTTGGATGAGACCTGTGTGGGGGGTCATGTAGGAATCCCACTAAAATGATTATTTCTTCCCTGATGACTCAGTTGGCTGAGATTTGCAAGGAGGAATGAGGGAATCATGTTTATGGTTTCTAAAAAAAATTCAGTTTGTTGTGGGTTCCTCATGCCCTTGGGCTGATATTTTCATACAAAAAGGTTTTCTTTACTACAGAATTTATTATTGCATTTCAGCTCTTGGGCTGGGCATATGTTTTGGTTCCAGGTTTCTATAGACTCAGAGGATACCTCAGACCTCTTAGCAAGATTTCAGTACCACTAAATAATTGTAATGATCACTAACAGAGTAACTCCATTGAGCTGTCAGCAGAAAAACAGCTGAAGTGAATACTTATTTCAATTAAAGATGCAGAATTATGCATATTTATGCACAAGCCTGAAAAGCAGATGATATTTAAAATGTTCTTCAGGGCAGGAGATACAATTAATTTTTCATTACCTTCAACATTTATCCAATTTATCACTAGCTGGAAAGTCTCATTCATTCAGTCCTTATCTGTGTCAAGTTGCTGTTGTGTAAGATTTTCTGCGTGACTGAGACTATTTGGGTCACAGGGGATAGGTAGGGACTATAATGGGATACTACACTGACCCTTGAAAGCACAACTGATGGCATTTGCCAAAATGGGAATCCATCTCCCTCGCAAACCCCCACATACACGCACTCAAACTCTCTGCTTCATCTTTCAGTCCTCCTGGTCAAAGTCTCCTGCAGGTCAGAAGGAAGAGTGGCGTGTGAAGAGAGACTGCAGTGACCTCTCGCTTTGGAATGCAGCGCTGTTTGTTTTGGCATTGCAGA